ATTCATGGAAGGAAGGAAGGAAGGAAGGAAGGAAGGAAGGAAGGAAGGAAGGAAGGAAGGAAAGAAAGAAAGAAAGAAAGAAAGAAAGAAAGAAAGATCATCTACAGTGACACAGGTTTCCTACTTCTGACCTACAAGAAGGCTTTCAACTTGGCAGATGGCAGAAAGGAACATTAGGACATCCTGAACATTAATGGCTTACAAGTCACGAAACAGCATCAAAAATGCCCAGGCCAGCAAATCTTGTTCCCCCCAGAATACCTCTTCCCCAGAATAAACTTGCACAAATCATCCTGCTACTTCCAAAGAGGAACTTGTGGGGAGATGGGCAGGGACAAGTCAAATAAATAAATAAATAAATAAACTTGCACAAGATGGCCATGTAGCATTACAAATGACAAGGAAGTCCCTGAAGCACGTGTTGTTGCTTTGGACTCATTTCCAGATGATCATACATCAGTAAAAATGCTGCTAGGTAAGATACAACCCTTCCAGAGCACCAAGAACAGGGGAAAAAAAATACAAGATTGCTGCAAAAAAAAGAAACTGTTGTTTGAATAATTGTCAATGGCATTACCTACATACAGTACTAAGCAATTTACTGAGAGTCCCAGAAAGGAAAGAAAGCCACTTTTTTTATTATTATTATTATTATTATTATTATTATTATTATTATTATTATTATCAGAAAATTAAGCTTGACTTACTGGTGGAGTTTCCTTGCATTTGGATTATGCATTTGGACTCTTTGCTGGTCTCTCGGGAATTAAAAGGTCTGACCCGGACAGCCACTTTTACAGAAGCTCCTGACATTTTGATGGGCTCTTGTGTGCACTCCAGAAATTAGGTTTCAAGGACTTCCACCGTTTCTTCTAGAGTTACCTTTTAAAAGAAAAGAAATGTGATTTTCAAATACTTTTCAGATAAACTGCCATTTATTATAGCCAAGCTCGTCTGATCCACGCAAAACAAAAATTAACATTTCCTTGGCATGTAAGACAGCGAGAGTATTCACATCGCTCTTCTATCAAGCTGAGAGAAACATTTTCAGAAAAAAAAATGGAGTCTTGATCACTGACATCACTCATGACTCAGTCAGCTTTAAAAAGAGCTGTTTTCTGTACTGCTTGTTCATTTTATCGGTATATGTGGCAAGTATAAAAGAACCCAACGCACCTCCAGGGATATCTTTTCAAAAAAAGGCAAGAAGACTATGTAATCCCATTAGATTTCATATCAATCTTTCTGCTTGGACGTTTCTATATTCGGCAGAGGACAATAACGCTGCAGAAAATCAAACTAAACCAATACATTCTTTGCACAGAACCAAAGTAAAAATGCATTTTAGCTGGAAGGGAAAGCAAAGTATATGTGGGGAAATGAAAATGTCTTCCCTAAGGTGTTTCAAAACAGCTGATGTGGTATCAGATAAAAATCAGAATACAGGCCTAAAATAGCATGCAGTACCCTGTACCAGTTTTATTTGTTCACTGCATTAACTGACATGGTCAGTATCTTTTTAAGTTCTCTCATTACTCCTTGCATGAAAAATAAACGCTGAGTTGTTTCTGTTCAAGGCAAACATATCCCAATATACTCAAACAACACACCACTGAAACACTTATAGGCGCTTGGACACGCCAGAAAAAGTAAGAGGCAGACTCACAGCCCTTAAATATCAAATATTCAGAATTTTTCCACATTACAAAGAAAACCTGCTGCAGACCTGCATTTCAGTATGTGTGCTCTTGATGTCCTGAAGCAGGATGCCATTAGAGAATCAATTAGGATCCTCAGAGAATCGGTCAGAACAGCAGATTCTGTTTCTATATGGTCTGACGCCTTCGATCCTTTTGAGATATACATTTGACTTCTGAGAGCCTCCACAGCCAATCAAGATTTTGACCTGCAAGGATTCCAGACTTCTGCAGGCGCGGAAGACCAATTAAAGCAGAACATTTTGGGAGACCAACTAATTCAAAGGAATTCCTCAACACTTAGCCGCAGAGGGGCAAAAAGGGAGCATCTTGGGAGGGCCTGCCGACACCCTTCTGAAGCCTCCAGAGGAGATGGGGGTGAAAAAGGGGCTTTCCATTTGGGGTGGGAGCAAAATGGATGCCTTAAGCTTTGCAGCCTCTTAAGGCCTCCATCTCTTAAAACTCCTGAAGCTCCTCCCCAAATGTATCTGGCTCCACCCACTTTTGGCACGCGGCTTTCTATGGGCAACGCAAAGCCTGGTGCAGTTCTCAGGTAACAGAACCCACCCAAGGACCCATGTATCATTTTTGCAGCTGCCAAAGCACCCCAAATCCAGCGGTTCTCAATAACAACCTAGATGGGACACCAAGTTAGTCACTGAAGCTTTAATTAAACATGTAAGTCTTAGCACAAGTGATCATTACAATACCAAAATGCCTATAAAAGATGGGGGGAGGGCATTAACAGCCAAACCAAGGTCCTTTGTCAAATCAATTGATTTAAAATATGAAAGATTGAGAACCATTACGCTGGAAGGTACCAGGTTAGGGAAAGCAGTTTTGGCAATACTGGACCATTTCACAGCAGATGCACAATTGCGATAAATATACTTTGCCATCTTTAGCCATCAACTGATGAGATTGCTCTCTCAACTTGAAATTCCTGGTACTACAGTAGAATAAGGCTACCTTGCACCTTCTACACAGCAAAACCAAATATCAACATATTAACTATTCACTGAAGGTGTAATGGTAAAAAGCAGGTGGAGGAGACGAAACCAACTTTTCTTTATTGGTTTGTTCTCTGCACTTTGGTCCAAACTAAAGGATCTAGGTTGTGAAAGAAAACACAGTCCTTTGTGGAGTCTTCATGCCCATGAAGACGTAAGTGGCTCTTCAGTTTAGCTGGAATTTTCTGCTTCACCCTGTTGGGGTGAATACAGCTCCATTTAACTGAGCGGTCTAAATATCTCCAAGTTGAAAAGACAGTCTCTTCCTTTCACCTCCCAAAAGTTTCATGTAAATTAAGTGGCAAGAAATCTATCCACCCCCTGGGTTGGTGGTGCACACAAAAAGCAGCACAGTAAAGAGGGGGTGAAGTAAATTGGGGGTGGGGGAGCCTATGACAGCTTTCTCAAACATGACACACCAGCATCAGGTCACATTCGGCAAGAATTCTAAGAACAGAATTCCTATATACCCCTAGTATACAGGAGTATACAGTGGCCCCTATATACATAAAGATTTCCAAGTTGGAAAACACTAGTTTAGGACCATTCCCAGGGAAAGAAACTGGGGAGGGGAGAGAATTAAAAACAAGAAACTGAATCACAGAAATACACCCCAAAAGAGGAGGCAATGATTTTGCCTCTAAGCCTTAAACAAACCAAACAGACTGATACTCTTTGTTTAATCAAGACATTTCTCTCCCACTATATTAAAACAGGCACCCTTTTTTCCACCTCCCCTCATCTTTAAATAATCAGAAAACAGTCTGAATATCCCCAAAGGCATGGATGATGGTGGAATTAACTGAGCCACGGATTACAACTGTCCTGTCAAAAGCAATCCAAATTATTGGATTTGCATAAGATGCTTAACTGGGACATTCAGAGATCCAGAGTATCATGGAACCCCTAATACCTAAACATTTCTGGGTCAGAATCCGTCCCCAAATAACCCAAAGTTCTCTGGATTAATTGTGGGTTACTCTGAGCCAGGTTGTCATGCGGATGGAGAAGAGAAAGTGAACTCTCCCATTTGACCTCAGAGTTATAGACAGGGATCCTACAGGAGCTCCACAAAAGTGGGGCCTATCCAGGAAATCTGCTTTTTACAATTTGCCCCATCTCAGCGAATATGCAGGGGAGTAACAAAGCGGCAGAAAGAAAAGATTGGGGGGGGACGTACAGCAACCAACACCGTACAGCACCAGGACAATGACAACAACAAAAGCAGGCAGAGATCCCTTTGTGAAGTTGGCTCACTGGGAGAGAAGACTTCAGGAGGGAACAGTTTGAGGGCTTCTGATCAGCGGAAGTACCCTTGAATTGTACCGAGGTAGACTGCTAAATATTTCGGCGTAAACGCAAGGAGCAATACCAAGTACATGAATGTTATTAAGTTTGGCATCAATCACAAACCATGTTTTTGTAATGCTTATACTGCTATGGAAACAGAGTGTTACAGAGCCAGCTAATTCTATTCCTACTGAAATTAATGGAACTGACCCCTAAGTGTATCTGACAACAGCTTAAAATACCTTTCATTCCTATTTCCATGACTGTAGTCATAAAAGAAGCACAATAAATGAAAAATTCACGGTATGAGGGAGGAAACCTGGCAAGACTGAGACAAAAAAAAAGGAAGAAGACAAAGGGAACAGACGAAAGCTCAAATGACTTAAGATTCAAATGGAGAAATCTATTTCTAGAATAATAACAAACATAAACATTAGGGAGAGAGCTAATCTAGTCCCTAAACCCCACCCTGTAAAATTCACGGCAAACAAAAAACACACAGGAGAGTGAACATGCAAGCAAGGGGTGACAAATGTCTCCATGAATTCCAGGAGAGCATTTTCACTAAGCTACTCATCAGTCATTCTTACCACCCAGCTACCCTGTCTCTGACGAAGACCGTCAGATCATAATCCCAATATGGCTGCCTCGGTAATTGTGCTGTGCTGGATACAGTATAGAGGAAGGGAGGAAACGTAACGAAAAGAAGAGCATCTCTCTTTAGGGGTGAAGTAGCCTTAAACAAAAAGCAAGGGCAGGGGGACAAAAGACACAGAGTTTGCTGCAGTCCCCCGACAAATCACCGCCGTGAGGAGCCAGGTTCAAGTTATATCGGTAAACTTGGAGCAGAGGGAAATTCAGCCTCAAACCCCACCCTGCTTCTGAGATGAGATGGAGTTTAGGCCGCAGTACTATTGCTGTAGGAGAAAAGATGCAAGCTGTGAATAATCGGTGCCTGAGAGATTACGACAAGGGTGAGGGCAGGGCCCAATCCAGAACAGATTCTTTTAAGGCTTCTCTCACCAGGGAAACAGAAGCACAGGCTGCTGGAGGCAGAGGGCTCGATTCAGAGAAGGAGTTAATTCCCTCATCTTAAAGTCTCAGTTTCACTGACAGATTTGAATTTGAGAGTGTCACTGTCAGAGCATATCACTTAAACTTCCCAACTTGGAACTCTCTAGACAAATAACTAAAACTCGGGAGAGGCGGGAAGCACTGGCTAGGGGAAGAGGGTTCACATTTCACTGGCTTGGGAAACATCCTATGCCAACCTTTTAAAAAACCAGGCTGTCACAAGACCTCACGCTAGCTGTTGTGAACTAGATGTTCGCTACAGAAAAGGTCTCTGGGGGGACATGAAGCTGATAAAAGGAATGTGGGTAAGGGGAGGGAAAAAAAAAACGTGAGGAATCTGCAACTGGAACTGACCGGTTGGGGGATAAAACACCAGACCTTGAACAGAAAAAGAATTCACAGAACAGGCTTCCTCCTGCACTCATCAAAGTGGAAAAAGCTTGTGCAAGGAAATTCCTGGTAGCATATGAATGTGTGTGTGCAGCAGACACACATATTAACACACAAACACTTGCAAACTTGCACCCAATCTTGTCTGTTAAATACAGATGCACCAACTTTATTGTACCTGTCTACAGTTAAATACATAGAATAGAGTGCTGTGGTAATACACCCACCAATTGATCCTCAATTTAGCAGGGGCACATCCCTAAGAGTTTCGCACACTAACCTCTAAATGCTTCAGCCAACTGGAGGCTTTTGGAACCAAAATGTTAGGAACAAAGCCAGCACACTAAGGAGAGCTCCTAAGAAAACCCTACTTAGGAGTAGAACTATTTTTGAGAGATATATATTTCTTTAGTTCCGATGCCCACACGTAGAACTAGTAGAATAAGAGGCAGCTTTTAAAAATCAATTTGACTATTGTTAACTTATTACGATAACAACACTTTTATTTCACAGTAGTTGTATCTACCCCTGAAATAACACACCATGTTTGTACTGAATTGTGTCCGCGGAAGATGAAAGAAAGATGTGGCAAAACTACTCAATTTTTTTTTTTACTGCTGGTCTGTTCTGAGAAACTCTGAGATCTGACAGGGGAGAGGGCGGGAGAGGAGTACAAGGTTGGGGTCTGGACTACAACTCCCATAATCCCACGGGAGCATATCCCACACACCCAGAAGAGGCCAGTATGGAAAGCCTTGAAATCCCTCCATCCTCTCCTCCAGCGAGATGGTGCCAGTTTTAAAGCCAAACCAAATCCGCTTTTACTTTGGAAGAGATGCCTCTTGATGCGGGAGGGGAGGGAAGACTTTTGAAGACGTGGAAGAAAAACAGACAAAAGAGAGGTGAGAAAAGAGGGATGAAAAAGGAGACACCACAATCGCCTCCATGGTTAATTCCTTCCTTCGTGCCAGCTCGACATCATTTGTGCGTGGAGGGGTGGCGGGGGCTGGGAACGGGAAGATCGGGCTCCCCTCGCGTCCCTATTCCTTGGGACTCCAACCCCATAATCCCCGATAAACTCCAGAGGATGGGCGCTGCAGCCCTAATGCATCTGGAGGGCGCCAGGTTGGGGAAGGCAGGTGAGCAGGTGGCAGGGAGGGGAGAGGGGAGGATAAGCCCCGCCCCGTCACCGGCTGCTTCTCCTCTCGTCACGTGACGCGCTCGGGCGTACCCCCCCTTTTTTTTAAGCTCGTTTTTACCTCAGTGCAGTGAAGGGCGGAGCGGCACCGGTGCCGCAGCTTAATTAACGGCTTCCCGGAGGGCCACGAGCGGCGAGGCAGCTAGCGGGGAAGAGGCCGCCCAGCCCCATCACGGAGCTCCCCTCCCGGGACGGCGAGAAGGAGCGAAGGCCCCGCGCAGCCGACGAAGCGCCTGACAGCAACGCCGCCGCTCTACTGACAAGAGAAAGAGACGGAGCCGCTTTACCCCACCCACCGGCGCCAGGCCCCGCCCCTTTCTCGCGGCAGCCCTCCAATCAGACACGGAAGGAGGCTTCCCGCCTCCCGAGCGCAGCAACCGGCAGCCTCGCGGATAGGTGGCGCGCTTTGTCCATCGAAACCCTGCGGTGACGAAGAGCCTCAGGAGGGGAAGACCGCCTCCGCTGCCAATCTCGGAACGCCTCTAAACCAATCCCATTAAGGGAAAGCGCAGCGTGG